GTGGGGTGTGGTGTCTAGGTATTGCAGCAGTGGGACGTGGGGTAGAATGCAGAGGTGTTTGGATGGTATGGCGTGAGAGCAAGGTGTGGAGTGTAACGAGGGAAAATGACGCGTATCGTAAAAGGCGACCAAGCAAGCAGTCATAGGATAATGTTCTTTGATTTGAGCACAGCACAGTGACAATCGTCATATAAGTGTCTCGTAACACTTTCGTCTATTCTCTTTCTCCTCTCCCGGCCTCTACCTTATATATATATATCGGGCGTGGCTTTTCGGTGGCCACGTACGTGTTCTCCCTCACACGCCAGTCCTCTTGCCTATCTGTGCTATTGGTTGGTTTTCGGACATTGATCGGTCAAGTGACCAACTGGTTAGTCTTACGTCATTATTGAATGCTTCCAAACCCAACCTCCTTGACACTGGCTGGCTGCCAACTATTCCTGATTCCCTTCTTTTCTGCATGCGTTGCTTCTATTCTCCAGAGGCAGGCCAATTATGTTGGCCACGTCTCTAATGACTGCTATCGAAAACTAATGACTCCAATGGCCCTCTCAACCTGATTAAACCGTATGTCTTCTCAATGGTTAACAACACCAGTTCTGCTTCTGCATGGTGTCTATTATTCTAAGTGCATTAGGACGATCTTATACTCATCGTCTCACAAACTAAGTTCTCTACCGCGCGTGTGCTATACTGTCGCTCGTAATCTACATTTCCACTTTTTTGTATTAACTTTTACTCGCATGACGTTTTGCATCACTACAGTAGGTAGCCCGACGAGGCTGTGCGACTGGTTGTCTATATGATTGGTCTCTAGCCCTAACAAGACCGTTTCTTAGAGGTACACGAGCTATGCTGAATTAACGCAGTGATAAGCACCGTTCTCACGAATCTTTCACGGCGCAATGTAGACACTCAATTATAACTCAATGATAACAGCTTAATACGGAGCTTGTCCATCGTGAAGGCATACATAATAAATTGGATGACAATAATTAACATCCTCATGATTTACTAGATGTACAGCGGGTTCATATCAGCACTGTTTTGCTCATAATTGTATCGAAGCGAATTCGGAATACAAAGCTATAATTTGTGTTGTCATGAGCATCATGAGCGCAACCACTGGGGGGCGGGGGAGTCACGACCCCCCCCGACTTTTATGTGGACCTCCCAACTTCTGAAGACCTTATTTTCTGGAGGTCCAAAATAGTCCGATAAGCGTTTATTATCGTGAAACATCCATATTTCACAGGTGAAAGTTAAAATAAATAAAAACCCCATGCAGGTGGTCAAGGGCAGTGTGATTCAGATTCAGATATATATCTAAATAGAACCTTTGTTAATATCATTTAGATTTGACCTACATAGTACATTCAATCTCACGTTCATGGAACGAGCACGATATTCACCACTCGTTCGCAAGCCAACTGCTGTGTAAGACACACACACAAAATATAGGCCCATCTTCAAACAAGCGGCGCGTCGCGCGCGGCACCCGTTCACCTTACCTTCTAATCTATGATATCTTCTGGCGCTGTCTCTACTGACACTGCACGGCGCAGGCCTGGTTTCACGGCGACGGCGAAAGTCAAATTCGACTTTTCGAGTTCGACTTTTGCCGGCTGACGTGACGGCGAAAAGACAATTGAACCAATCAACGCGATTGTTTTTTATCACGTGTTCTGGAATCGATATTGAAGCAATTGCAAAGGATTTTGTTGCAAAGTGTGACTCAGAAAGCGTCACATTTGGTTTCTAACACTGTTAACACACTGTTTTCACGTGTCAGACATTTTTTTGCATTATTATTTTCATCATTATTATTTTCCTCTTCATCTTAATCATGCTAACTGTGCACACAGTTAGCAGCAGTTGTGTGTAGCTTTACTACTAGATTAATCTAATTATAAAAACATTTTGGTATTTTATGTATACATGATCCTAGTAATGTCATTCATGACATCACAATTATGCAACACTTCCATCAACCACGCTGAAATACTTGATATTGAACCAACACGTGATATTCCTCGCCCGCAGATCACGTTGCATATTGGCCTGCTTGTGACCCCCCCAATTTCAACACGGTGGTTCCGCCCTTGATGAGCCAGTATGTGAGGAGCCTTGCAACTCACACTGCCTTTGCACAAGAAGGAAGAGCTCGCGAATGAGTCTCATAGGTCATGCATAGTGACTACAGCCGCATCACTGGCTAGATAATGTGCATTATAGGTCACCGCGCGGCCGCTAGCTGGCACCACCTGACACGGAAAAAACTACTGTTCTATACAATATAAATTATGTATGTGTATGTAGTGCGTGCGTGCGTGCGCGTGAGCGTGCGTGTGCGTGTGCGTGTGCGAGTGCGTGTGCGAGTGCGTGCACACACACACACACACACACACACACACACACACACACACACACACACACACACACACACACACACACACACACACACACNCGCACACACACACACACACACACACACACACACACACACACACACACACAAATATATGCACGCGCGCACGAACATTGTCGGCAGACGAGGAAAACCGATGAAGTAACGCTACTGTCGACATGACGTCACCGCCCATTCTTCCTTCGGACCTTCCGCGTACACCCGCCATCGCCGCAGCACGGCCCGCTCCCGCGCACCCACATGCAGCGCGTCTGTTTTTTTCTCTTTCCCAGCGTATTATCAGGAGTAAGATAATATAGGATATACTATATTATCTTACTCCTATATTATCAAGAGCTAATAATACCTCTTTTGGTATAATAACTCTAAGGTATTATTAGCTCTTGATATTATCTTACTCCTGGCATTGTCAGGTTTTGAGTGTCCAGTCGTACTTACTTTATCGCTGAAGCTCCGGGCGTCAGCAGCATCACCGCCGCCACCGCGGCATAGGAAAGTATCATCATCGTCATCGTTGCTCGCATTTTTCCGTTCGCACGTACGATCTCTCGCACACCTTGTCGTTCGGGGCGCTCGCACCTGCTACTAATGCTGCCCGCCGCGCGTAGCGCGCAGGTCGTGCAAGCGATGGGTCCGGAACCTCCCCCCTCCCCCCGCCCGCGCAGCTCTGACACGCCCTGCCGCACACACGGCGGACGCAACCAGCTCCGGGTTGCAAGCCGGTAGCAGGAGACCGGTCCGTGTCCGTGCGAGCGTTCCGAGAATGACGAAGAGGATGGATGGATGAGAACCAGTCGTGCGCGGCGTAAATGCGTAGATGTGTGGCGTGTTTGCTGTAAATGAATGGTGTGATGTAGGGTGTGGTGTAGAAGCGTGTTTGACGTCGGTGAGAAGTGTGCGATCTTGTGTGTCAGAGGCGTGTGGGTGTGCTGTATAGGTTATTAGCAGGCGGGTGGGTATGTGGGGTGTGGTGTAGAGGTGTGCGCGATCTAGTGGTAGAGCGCGGTGGGGCGTGTGAGTGTATAGGTGGGTGGGTGGTGAGGTGTGCGAGATCATGGTGGTAGAGGCGGTGGGGTGTGATGAATATAGGTATTGCCAGCGGTGCGGGATGGGGGGGTCGTGGAAACAAATAAAATGTAGAGGTGTGTGAGGCAATATAAAGTAAAAAGAAGTTAGAAAAAAGTAGTACAAGAGATCTAGAATGATAGGGGCAGATAAAAGGGCGAACTGTGAGTGTAGAGGTGATTGTGGGGTGGTGAGGTGTGCGGATCAGTGGCTAGGACGTGGAGGGTGGAGTGTATAGGTGTTGAGGTGAGGGTGAGGTGACGGATCTACGTGTAAGGGAACGGTGGGGTGTGGGTGTAGACGTGATTTGGGTGCGTGAGGGGTGGACGGATTAAGTGGTAGAACTGGTGTGTGTAGAGGTGTATGGGGTCGGTTGAAGGTGTGCGGATCTAGTAGTAGGGCGATGGAGGTGTAAGTATACGGTTAGTGCAGCGGATGACGTGGAGGTGTCGGGCAATGTAAGGTAGTAGCGGATCTAGTGTAGAGGCGTGGGTGGTGATGTATACAGGTGTTTGGGGTGAGTGAGGTGTGCGGATCTTGTGTAGAGGCGTGGGGGTGCTGATGTATAGGTATTGCACAGTGAGGATGTGAGCTGTGCGATGTAGAGGGGTTTGCGGCGTGGTGAAGCGTGTACGGGATCTAGTGTAGAGGCGTGGGGATGTGGTGTAGAGGTGTTCTTTGGGCGTGCGTGAGGGTGCGGAGCATAGCTGCTTAGCGGGTGAGGGTGTTGATGTATAGGTGTTTGAGCGTGTGTGAGGCGTGGGCGGATATAGGTGTAGCGCGGGTGCGCGGGTGTGAGTGTAAGTATTGCACGCGGATGGAACGTGAGTGGTGCTGGTGTAAGAGAGTGTTTTGGATGGTGCAGGTGTGCGGAATCTCAGTGTAGGGGGCGGGGGATGTGGATGTAGAGGCTGGCTTGGATAGGTTGAGGTGAGTGCGGATCTAGTGGAGGGGCGTGGGGTGTGTAGAGGTGTTTGGGTGTTGATGCTGTGCGGCTCTAGTGTAGGGGCGTGTGGCCCGCTGGCGTGTAGAAGGGTATGGCCGCAGAGGTATTGCAGCGGTGGGACGTGGGGTAGAATGCAGAGGTGTTTGGATGGTATGGCGTGAGAAAGTGGTGAGGGTTGGGTTGGGGTGTGGTGTAGAGGTATTGGTGTGGTGAGGTGTGGGGATGTGGTTTTGGAATGTGTGGTGTGGTGTAGAGGTGTAGAATGAGGTGTGGAAGTGTGAAGGGAGAGGTTGTGTGTGGTGGGTGCGCCGTGAGGGAGGGTAGCT